ATGGTGGAGTACGCGTGTTGTATGGTGGAGTACGCATGTTGTATGGTGGAGTACGCGTGTTGTATGATGGAGTACGTGTGTTGTACAGTGGAGTACGCGTGTTGTATGGTGGAGCACGCGTGTTGTTTGTTGGAGTACGCGTGTTATATGGTAGAGTGCATGTGTTGTATGATGGAGTTCGTGTGTTGTATGGTGGAGTATGTGTGTAGTACGGTGGAGTGCATGTGTTGTACGGTGGAGTATGCGTGTTGTATGGTGGAGTACGCGTGTTGTATGGTGGAGTACGCGTGTTGTACGGTGGAGTACGCGTGTTGTATGGTGGAGTTCGCGTGTTGTATGGTGGAGTACGCGTGTTGTATGGTGGAGTATGCATGTTGTATGGTGGAGTACGCGTGTTGTACGGTGGAGTACGCGTGTTGTATGGTGGAGTTCGTGTGTTGTATGGTGGAGTTCGTGTGTTGTATGGTGGAGTACGCGTGTTGTATGGTGGAGTATGCGTGTTGTATGGTGGAGTTCGCGTGTTGTATGGTGGAGTACGCGTGTTGTACGGTGGAGTACGTGTAGTACAGTGGAGTCCACGTGGAGTTCGTGTATAGTACGGTGGAGTACGCGTGTTCTACGGTGGAGTACGCGTGTTGTATGGTGGAGTACGCATGTTGTATGATGGAGTACGCGTGTTGTATGGTGGAGTACGCGTGTTGTATGGTGGAGTACGCATGTTGTATGGTGGAGTACGCGTGTTGTATGATGGAGTACGTGTGTTGTACGGTGGAGTACGCGTGTTGTATGGTGGAGCACGCGTGTTGTTTGTTGGAGTACGCGTGTTATATGGTAGAGTGCATGTGTTGTCTGATGGAGTTCGTGTGTTGTATGGTGGAGTATGTGTGTAGTACGGTGGAGTGCATGTGTTGTACGGTGGAGTATGCGTGTTGTATGGTGGAGTACGCGTGTTGTATGGTGGAGTACGCGTGTTGTACGGTGGAGTACGCGTGTTGTATGGTGGAGTTCGCGTGTTGTATGGTGGAGTACGCGTGTTGTACGGTGGAGTACGTGTGTAGTACGGTGGAGTCCACGTGGAGTTCGTGTGTTGTACGGTGGAGTACGCGTGTTCTACGGTGGAGTACGCGTGTTGTATGGTGGAGTACGCGTGTTGTATGGTGGAGTACGTGTGTTGTATGGTGGATTACGCATGTTGTATGGTGGAGTACGCGTGTTGTATGGTGGAGTATGTGTGTTGTATGGTGGAGTACGTGTGTTGTATGCTGGAGTACGCGTGTTGTATGGTGGAGTTCGTGTGTTGTTTGGTGGAGTTCGTGTGTTGTATGGTGGAGTATGTGTGTAGTACGGTGGAGTGCATGTGTTGTACGGTGGAGTACGCGTGTTGTATGGTGGAGTACGCGTGTTGTATGGTGGAGTACACGTGTTGTATGGTATAGTGTGTGTAGTACGGTGGAGTACGCGTGTTTTATGGTGGAGTACGCGTGTTGTATGGTGGAGTACGCGTGTTGTATGGTGGAGTGCGTGTGTTGTATGGTGGAGTGCGTGTGTTGTATGGTGGAGTACGTGTGTTGTATGGTGGAGTACGCGTGTTGTATGGTGGAGTTCGTGTGTTGTATGGTGGAGTTCGTGTGTTGTATGGTAGAGTGTGTGTAGTACGGTGGAGTACGCGTGTTTTATGGTGGAGTACGCGTGTTGTATGGTGGAGTACGCGTGTTGTATGGTGGAGTGCGTGTAGTACGGTGGAGTCCACGTGGAGTTCGTGTATAGTACGGTGGAGTACGCGTGTTCTACGGTGGAGTACGCGTGTTGTATGGTGGAGTACGCATGTTCTATGATGGAGTACGCGTGTTGTATGGTGGAGTACGCGTGTTGTATGGTGGAGTACGCATGTTGTATGGTGGAGTACGCGTGTTGTATGATGGAGTACGTGTGTTGTACGGTGGAGTACGCGTGTTGTATGGTGGAGCACGCGTGTTGTTTGTTGGAGTACGCGTGTTATATGGGAGAGTGCATGTGTTGTATGATGGAGTTCGTGTGTTGTATGGTGGAGTATGTGTGTAGTACGGTGGAGTGCATGTGTTGTACGGTGGAGTATGCGTGTTGTATGGTGGAGTACGCGTGTTGTATGGTGGAGTACGCGTGTTGTACGGTGGAGTACGCGTGTTGTATGGTGGAGTTCGCGTGTTGTATGGTGGAGTACGCGTGTTGTACGGTGGAGTACGTGTGTAGTACGGTGGAGTCCACGTGGAGTTCGTGTGTTGTACGTTGGAGTACGCGTGTTCTACGGTGGAGTACGCGTGTTGTATGGTGGAGTACGCGTGTTGTATGGTGGAGTACGTGTGTTGTATGGTGGAGTACGCATGTTGTATGGTGGAGTACGCGTGTTGTATGGTGGAGTATGTGTGTTGTATGGTGGAGTACGTGTGTTGTATGCTGGAGTACGCGTGTTGTATGGTGGAGTTCGTGTGTTGTTTGGTGGAGTTCGTGTGTTGTATGGTGGAGTATGTGTGTAGTACGGTGGAGTGCATGTGTTGTACGGTGGAGTACGCGTGTTGTATGGTGGAGTACGCGTGTTGTATGGTGGAGTACACGTGTTGTATGGTAGAGTGTGTGTAGTACGGTGGAGTACGCGTGTTTTATGGTGGAGTACGCGTGTTGTATGGTGGAGTACGCGTGTTGTATGGTGGAGTGCGTGTGTTGTATGGTGGAGTGCGTGTGTTGTATGGTGGAGTACGTGTGTTGTATGGTGGAGTACGCGTGTTGTATGGTGGAGTTCGTGTGTTGTATGGTGGAGTTCGTGTGTTGTATGGTAGAGTGTGTGTAGTACGGTGGAGTACGCGTGTTTTATGGTGGAGTACGCGTGTTGTATGGTGGAGTACGCGTGTTGTATGGTGGAGTGCGTGTGTTGTATGGTGGAGTGCGTGTGTTGTAGGGTGGAGTACGCGTGTTGTATGGTGGAGTACGTGTGTTGTATGGTGGAGTACGTGTGTTGTATGGTGGAGTACGTGTGTTGTATGGTGGAGTTGGCGTGTTGTATGGTGGAGTACGCGTGTTGTATGGTGGAGTACGCGTGTTGTACGGTTCGAGTGCGTGTGTTGTATGGTGGAGTACGTGTGTTGTATGGTGGAGTACGTGTGTTGTATGGTGGAGTACGCGTGTTGTATGGTGGAGTACGCGTGTTGTATGGTGGAGTACGCGTGTTGTATGGTGGAGTACGCGTGTTGTACGGTGGTGTGCGTGTCTTGTATGGTGGAGTTCGTGTGTTGTATGGTGAAGTACGCGTGTTGTACGGTGGAGTACGTGTGTTGTACGGTGGAGTACGCGTGTTGTATGGTGGAGTACGCGTGTTGTACGGTGGAGTACGCGTGTTGTATGGTGGAGTACGCGTGTTGTACGGTGGAGTACGTGTGTTGTATGGTGGAGTACGCGTGTTGTATGGTGGAGTACGTGTGTTGTATGGTGGAGTACGTGTGTTGTACGGTGGAGTACGCGTGTTGTATGGTGGAGTACGCGTGTTGTACGGTGGAGTACGCGTGTTGTACGGTGGAGTACGCGTGTTGTATGGTGGAGTACGCATGTTGTACGGTGGAGTACGTGTGTTGTATGGTGGAGTTCGTGTGTTGTATGGTGGAGTACGTGTATTGTACGGTGGAGGACGCGTGTTGTATGGTGGAGTACGCGTGTTGTATTGTGGAGTATGCATGTTGTATTGTGGAGTATGCGTGTTGTATGGTGGAGTTCGTGTGTTGTGCGGTGGAGCCCACATGTTGTACAAGCGGAGCGGAGGCTGGCTAAAACATAGCAAGTTGGCACAATAGGGGGCATAGGTGGTGCATTGTCCAATCATCTCAGTCAGTCGATCCATGGCACCTGGGTATGTCCCGTAACCTCCTGCTAGCGGTCGTTCGACACTTCACGTGGCCTTAATGTGCACATAGCCATGCACAAGCGCTGTGGTAACGTCACCACCACTTAGTGCCGAATGGCGGGTGATGTTATTGTGTCAGCAGTGTAGGCATATGCATGCTACTGTAATGTGAGGTTTTATCCGGGATTACAACTCGTCACGATGATTGGCTCTGCCGGTCCTGGTCCATAGCCAATGGGGGGAAGCCTAGGGGCGTGGCCCTGACGTAATGGAAAGGTGACAGCTGTTTGTAGAAGATTGGTTCTGCTGGCTTTAGCCACAGCCAATGGGGAGACGAGTCAGGGGCGTGGTCCCCGGGAGCCTACGGTGGAGTCTGGAAGATTCCATAGAGGCTAACCAGGATTGGTGGAAACGTACCACGTGACCCGGGTATTAAATAGGGGTGGAGATGAACAACACGTGGTCAGAACTGGAACGAACGAAGGGGAGAGGCCACGCGAGAGCGGGGGTCCAGGCTGCCACGTGGTTGCGCGCGTCTCTCTTTTCTATCCCTCTCACGCTGTCTGTCAGCAGCGTGAAGGAGTGCTGTAATGAAAGACGAATAAAGACTGGATTCCAGAAGTCGCTTCAACGACCTTTATTACACTACAATACGAACCCAGTAACCCGGGTTTGATTCCTGCTCATGGCCAACACCGGTGACGATTATCTGATCCGGTCTCGGGCCTCCCCTAGGTTGACTCAACCTCAAATGAGTACCTGGTGCGGTGTGTAAACAACTCCACTAGGGAGACAAAGGCTGCGGGGCGTGGTGCTGGCCACCAACCCCCTCATGTCTCGTGCCGGCCTTCCTGGGTGCTCGCTAACAGCACTTGCCCCAACAGTCTGTTCAGGCTATACGGGGGATCTTTGTTTTTGTGTGTGTGTACCGAGCGGTAATATAGTGGTTCGTGCACTCTACTACAAACCTGTCGACCCGAGTTCGATTCCTAATGTACTGGTTTGTGAGCTTCCCCTAGGTCAACTCGGCTCTAAATGAGTACCTGGTGAGGTCTGTAAACATCAGTACTGGGGAGACAAATCCGTTAAGGCTATAAGTTGGGGGATATCTTTCTTTGTGTTTACCAAATAGGCTTGGGCTTGGACCCGGCGACCATGCCGCACCAGATGAGCATGGACGACTGGCCGGCCACCAAGCGCGAGTTCTCACGCTGCTTCGCCCAGCGGTCGCGCGCCGACTGGTGCCGCGTGTTCGAGGGCATGGACGCGTGCGTGACGCCCGTGCTCACGCCGGAAGAGGTGGCGGGCGACGCGCACGCCGCGGGGCGCGGCTCCTTCCTGCGCAACGCCGATGGCACCAACGTCCCCGCGCCGGCGCCGCGCCTGTCGCGCACGCCGGCGCGGCCCGGCGACGGCACCACTGCCGCCGATCCTGTGGTCGGACAGCACACGGAGAGCGTGCTGCGCGAGCTCGGCTATGGCGAGCAGGAGGTGCGGCAGCTTCTTGCTGACGGAGTCGTGGAGAGCGCCGGCAGCAAAAACAAGCCACACCTCTGAGTTATTGCAGATGGGGGAGGCCAAGTGGTAATTTTACCCAAATTATTAAAGCTCTAATGTGTTTTCTGGTTGTAGCACGTGTTTGGTGCCATGGTGGCGAGATGTTAATTACCTCGCCCGGTATATAGGAGGTCATGGATTCAATCCCGACCCTGTCGCTTGTATATTTGGAGTGGTTGTGTGGTTTTTCTTCAGGTCCTCCGGTTTTTCCCTCCACATTCAGAAACATGTGTTTAGAGTATTTGGCTGCTGTATATTTCCAAATGATAAGCCATTCCGTGGAGCAATCATTTGTGGCCAGGTCGCTTTTGAAAAATAATTATATAGTTCAGTGCGGCTTACCTGATAAAATAAAAAATAGTTTAGTATAGTTTGGTGCCAGCTTCTTCAGAAACTCAATTGGGTTCCTGAGAAAGCTTCCAGCATGTGGGGCGAATGTCGAAAACATTTGCCGGACAACGCGTGGTGCAAACCCCACGACACGTCAACGAGCTGAACGGCACCACTGGGAAATTCTTCATCGTGGCATCCTGAGTTTATCTAGCAGTGTGAACGCACTACTTCTCGTAGACTTGGATGGATCTGGTTGCCAAAATATACAAGAGACAAGAATAAAGACACTGCATAAGCATGTTAGCCCCACGGGCTGCGTTTATAGATTAAATTACAGGGATTAAATTGGCGGTTGTGTACAAAGCAGGGGACTATAATTACCATCCTTCTATATTCAGTCATAAATAACAAGTGCTCCCTGATAACAACTGAAAAATACGTACAGTGCGAAAGAAGTTCAACACCCATGTTTTTCCAAATTTGAAACCTTGTTTGCAATGAGACAAATATCAAATGCTGCCATTATTGTGTATGTTCATGAATTAACAGAGATTGCGGTGGCTTGTGGTGAATTGTTTTGTAAGTTGGTTTCCAATTTTTAAAAACGGGGGTTTGTTATTTCAGGGTTTTCTGGGTGATTTTTCTGATATGTCGGCCACGCGGTATGGAATAGACAACGGCACTTTTTCTTTTCTAACAATGTCACTCAATTATGCGAATTCAACAGTCAAATAGCACATTGTTGCGCATACTGCATATTATATTTGTTGAAATTAGCGTTGGCAGGGTGTGCTTTCAATCAGCTTTTGTTGTGAATTTCTGTAACGACTGGTTACGTGATTAACCCTTGTTTTTTGTTCGCTATGTAAAAATATGTAATTTAAACATCTGACGATAATAAAAAGCAATTTATATATCAGTCATTCAAAACTCATGGGATATTTTGTGTGTGTGTGTGTGAGATTTGCTTACATGCTTATCTGCTTTTTTAAACCACCCTCAGAATGCCAAATGTAATTCTGTTTTCTCGCGCACTGATTGTCGCGTCTCATGCATAACCCACGGGACTATCTCTCCGGCAAGGAGCATTGCTCGCGGTGTTTATTTGCCATCAAGTGCTGCTGTGTAATTTAGCCGCATGGCGCAACCTCAAGGGTTGCAAAAATTGGAAACAAATTGACCAAATTCAACATTTTCCACCTATTTTGTTCCGCAGTGCTTTTCTATCAGCGCCTGATGGGAAACCGGCCAGAATAATAAATTTGCGCCACAATTACATAAATTCAGCCAACCACAGGGGAGTCTTTCAGCAAAGTGCTTCTGAGGTGATCGATTTTCAAAGGCCAGTTATATTTTAAAGTTTCGTCAAAATACTGTGTAGATTTCTGCTTTCAAAAAAGAGTTTACATCATTGAAACCTCATTTGCCAGTAAAAAATATGATAATTGGTTTTTTACCCTTTTATCTGGCAACAAAACTGACACCTTTTTTTTACAAGGAGTCATGTTTGCATAGACCACAATACCTGCAGTCATAATGCAAACAAAAAACATAACTCTGATAATGTATGCACTGTCCTTGAAGTTAATTGGTCCACACCCGAGACAGCTTTCCTTAGAGCCTAGTCTCACATGGTGTTGGACCAGATGACGCCAAAAGGCGCACAACTCACAGACAATGCACCATCAGAGTATGAGAGCTCGGGGTAAGCATTTACACCATTGGAACCTCATTTGCCAGTAAAACATATGATACTTGTTTTTTTACCCTTTTATCTGGCAACAAAACTGACTCCTTTTTTACAAGGAGTCATGTTTGCATAGACCACAATACCTGCAGTCATAATGCAAACAAAAAACATAACTCTGATAATGTATGCACTGTCCTTGAAGTTGATTAGTCCACACCCGAGACAGCTTTCCTTAGAGCCTAGTCTCACATGGTGTTTTTTGTTTACATTATGACTGCAGGTATTGTGGTCTATGCAAACATGACTCCTTGTAAAAAAAGGTGTAAACAACCAATTATCATATTTTTTTACTGGCAAATGAGGTTCCAATGGTGTAAATGCTTACCCCGAGATCTCTTACTCTGATGGTGCATTGTCTTTGAGTTGTGCGCCTTTTGCGTCATCTGGTCCAACACCATGTGAGACTAGGCTCTAAGGAAAGCTGTCTCGGGTGTGGACCAATCAACTTCAAGGACAGTGCATACATTATCAGAGTTATGTTTTTTGTTTGTATTATGACTGCAAGTATTGTGGTCTATGCAAACATGACTCCTTGTATTAAAAGGTGTCAGTTTTGTTGCCAGATAAAAGGGTAAAAAAACAATTATCATAGAGTTTACATCTCAATCGGCCAAATTGCCGGCCGGTGGTTGAGACCCATGGCACTGATTGTCTGTGGTTATGATAATTTGTTTTCATCTTCTGAAAGGGGAAAAAACCACACCTTTTGCATACCTGCGCTACAATCTTACGGGAGTTACAATGGCTGACTGAAAACGCTTTGCAAAGCACGTCAAATAAGGTGGCTGGCTGTAAAGGTGACGTACAGTTGAAAAACGCTTGGCTGTGTATGTGTGTATTTTGAACTTGTTCGAACGCTGGCACCTGGGATTGAGTGATTGGAAGGCATGAGCCAGATCTGCTCAATAACAGCAGAAGGAAGCTGCTAGACTTCTCTGCAGCCCATGGGCTTGTATACCAACATGCTGTTTCGGCATCGGCACATCTGCACAACACCACGGATGCACGCCGGGTCCAAGCAAGAACATTTGCGGGACTATATAGTAACGGAACAACGGATGCGAGCCCATGTCCTTGACACCAGGACCTACCGTGGAGCTGATATGCCCACTAACCATTGGCTTGCCATTTGTAAGATGCGCCTGCCATATTCCCACTCCGGTGGTGAGTGTCCATCTAGGACCCCATTCAAACCCACAGTGGCCTGGTCTCATTGCATGCAGCGGGGTTGGCACCGACCCCCCCTCCTGATGCCGAGGGGTAATAGGCAAGGTTTAGGACTATGGCTCATGTTGCTGCAATGGCAGCTTGGGATACACAGTCCAAACCTGCCCGGAGACACTGGCTGATGGAGGTGTTCCAGCTGCCTGATAAAATGTGACAGGCCCACTCCCACCATCCACAACATTCCCCGTCGGAGAATGAGGCACAGCCTTCCCTCAGAGGTTGGGAGAGCCGTGCGGCGCTGCAAGGATGAGTGGTGGTCGCGGGTTGCTGAAGAGATGGAATTTGTCTCATTAGCTCACAATCACAAATCACTCTTTAATTCCAGGAAAAGCGCCGTGAAGAGTTGAGCTCCCAAGCGAACTGCTGAGGGAGGGTGGTGTTTATGTGCACAATAACAGTCTGGACAACTGGATGGGTTATGCAGGATTGGAAGGGGGACTGCACATACTGTAACAACTACAGGGGTATCTCCCTCCTCAGTGTGCCAGGAAAGGTCCTGGCATGGATTATTGAAGATCACCTTGCCAGATACGCTGAGGAGAAGCTTGTGGAGCACCAATGTGGTTTCAGGCCAGGGCGGTCCTGCACAGATGCCATATTTTCTGTCCGTCTGGTATAGCAGAGGTTTAGGGAATTCCAATGGGACCTACATCTCTGCTGTATTGACCTGGTCAAGGTCGAGGATACCATTAATAGGCCTGGGCTCTGGATTGGTCTTCGTGCTTTCAGAGTCAATAACTCTGCTCACAATCATTAAGGACCTTCATGATGGTGGGCAGGCTCGGGTAAAGCTACGTGGCTGGGAGTTGGAGCCATTCCCTGTTCACTTTGGAGTGCGACAGGGATGTCCTCTGGCACCTACATTTAACATATTTTTCGACCACGTAGTACGAGAAGGTTCCATGGCTGTAGCGGAGGAATTTCCATCTGGTACAGATAAAATGGGAGGCTGATCGATGCTCAGGTGCGGTCGATGATCTGGTAATTGCTGCTCACTCAGCCCCACCAAACTAAAGCACTCGCCTGAGTAGTTTGTGTCTTCAAACACTCCACCCCCTCAACGCCCCATCGGTGGGGTAGTTGTGGAGTGGAAAGGTTTCCATAACTGGGTAGTGTGCTTATGACCAGATCTGGTTGACAGCAGAGCTCTCACACCGAATCAGTCGAGGGACATTATATATTTTCATCGGCTGCTTAACGCTGTGTGGAAGCTACCTGGTCTGTCGCTCCACACGAAGCTTCGGGTCTTCTCGGCTACAGTCATGCCCTTCCTTATCTATGCTTGCGAAACGTGGACCCCCTTAGTGGAACATCTTCGCTGGTTAGAAACATTCAGGCTGGCCTGCCTACGGTCCATCCTGGGTTTAACCAGATGGGATTGTGTGAGGAGCTCACAAATCCTCAAAAGATCTGGACACAGTCCCATCGGTGAGCTCCTACGGCAGGCAAGGTTGCGTTGGCTGAGGTAGCCTGCATGCCCAGCGACCGCATACCCAAATAGCTTTTGTTCAGCCAGATAGAGGGGGCTAAACAATGCGCTGCACGGGCTAGAGAAGGGATGGAATAATGTGGTATGAGAGGATATGGAGCTGAGTGGACTTGCCAATAACTGGTACCAGCGGTATCAAAATCTGCCTCTGTGGAGGAGGCATGTGAAGGACGCTACTGGGTAGTTGTAGGCAAACGCCCTCCCGCAACAACAGAGGGCAGAGGAGCAACGCTCACAACAACGAGCGGAGCACCAGGCGGCTAAAACACAGCAAGTTGGCAGAGTAGGGGGCACAGGTGGTACTTCGGCCATCCATCTCAGTCAACCCATGGCACCTGGGTATGTCCCGTAACCTGCCAGCGGGCGTTCGTCACCCCACGTGACCTTAAAGTGCACATAGCCTAGCACAAGCACAGTGGTGACGTCACCACCACCTGGTGGTGAATGGCAGTTGTTGAACCTCTTTTGCACCGTACGTAGCCATCCGTGCTAATTGGGAGGTGCGGAAAAGGAACACGTGGCAGAGCACGAGATTTCTGGCCAATCGGTACACACAGTGCCTGCAGCGCCTCCCTCACTACCCCTGTGTGGACCGCAGGGCAAGCGAGGCGCATGGTGTCAACTGTACCGTGGGGGTTTACCACGAGCTCACCGCGCGGCCAGTGGCAATGGCACGATTCGCTACGCACGGTACGAAAGAAGTTAAACATACACACACGCACACGAGACGTCGGTACGGCTCTCCGGGGGATCCGAGCCACTCGCTCTCACCACCCGCTCTCCCCACCCGCTCTCACCACCCGCTCTCCCCACCCGCTCTCACCACAAGCTCTCCACTCGCTCTCCTCTCCCCACCGCTTTCCTCGAATTGGACCGTCGTGTAATTGGCGTCACTGTCATCTTTGCGCACGTTGTGCAGTTTCTTGGGCTGAACATGGGATTGTCATGAGACTTTAGATGCATTGTGTTAACATTTTACATATCGCTTAATTATCCAGAAAAGCCTAATTGAGTCCCCAGACTCTTTTGTTGGAGGGTCCTGCTAGATTTTGGCATAAGAAGAGGGGAGGGTGGCACCCATTACTACTTTTTTCCAAATTCAGTAATTAGCGATGGAAAATTTCAAATTTGGCAAATTTGGACCATTAAACTATTAAAACTACTATTATACTACTTTTTTTATTTTACCCGGTAAGGCCTGCTGAGCTATGTAGCTCTCTTTCAAAAGCGACCTGGCCACAAATGATGGCGCAACGAAGTGGGTTATTATCATATGGCAATTTATTGCAGCCATATACTCCAAACGCATGTTTCTAAATGTGGAGGAAATAAACGGAGGAACTACAGAAAAATTCACACGACCACGGGAAGAACATGTCAGGATCGATCCCACGACCTCCTATATACCAGGCGAGGTTACCATCTCGCCACCGCGGCACCATTCATGGTGTCACTGGTTCTTTA